GAGAGAGAGAGAGAGAGATAGATTGATAGATAGGTAGATAGACAGCTTGATAAACAGGTGGATAGATATTGTTGGACAGATGTATAGATAGAGGGACAGAGAGAGAGAGAGAGGAGAGAGAGAGAGAGAAGAGAGAGAGAGAGAGAGATAGATGACAGATAGGTAGATAGACAGTTGGATAAACAGATGGATAGATCGATTGTTGGATAGACAGATAGTGGCATAGGAAGAAAGACGGATGGATTGATATATACTTTGAGTGTCAAGGACCCTCCGTTTTTAGGACTGTCATTGTAACCTCATGTTTTTTCCTGCCTGCTGCTGGCTGCTGGTGCTGGCTGCGGCCTGCTGCTGCCTACTCCTGCTGCTGCAGAGGCTTTTGCTGCTGGTGCTGGCTGCTGCCTGCTGCTGCCTACTCCTGCTGCTGCAGAAGCTTTTGCTGCTGCTGCTGCTGCTGGTACCCGGATGGGAAAACACCATGGCAGTGAAGGACGGAGAAACCCCAAAATTGCACCCCGTAAATGCCTAGCGAAAACGCATAGAAAATGATGATTTTGGTTACTTTTTCCTCTTGCTGCTGCTATGAATTTTGGCTACCTTTTCCTCCTGCTGCTGCAGAGCAGCTTTGAAAGCCAGAAAAAGTCTCATTGCTGTGGCCCTGGCCCTGGGGGTTTGGAATTTTGGAGGGGATTGGAGGGTTTGCGGGCTGGCAAACGGCAGCTTTGAAAGCCCATAGAAAGCCATTGCTGTGGCCTGGCCCTGGGGTGCCTGTTGGGGAAGTGGCCTTGGCCCTGGCCCTGGGGTGCCTGTTGGGGAAGTGGCCTTGGCCCTGGCCCTGGGCCCTGGCCCTGGGGTGCCTGTTGGGGAAGTTGCCTTGGCCCTAGGGTGCATGTTGGGGAAGGTGTTTGGAATTTTGGAAGTTTGGATCCTTTGCAGGCTGGCAAACTGCAGCTTTGAGGCCCATAGAAAGTCATTGCTGTGGCCCTGGCCCCCTGTTAAGGCAGCTTTGAAAGCATCAAGAAAGTCATTGCTGTGGATCTGAGGTGCCTGCTGGGGACGGTTTGTTTGGAGGGTTTGGCGGGTTTTGGAGGGTTTGGAGAGTTTTGGAGGGTTTGCGGGCTGGCAAACGGCAGCTTTGAAAGCCTAAGAAAGCCATTGCTGTGGCCTGGCCCTGGGGTGCTTGTTGGGGAAGTGGCCTTGGCCTTGGGGTGCCTGTTGGGGAAGGTGTTTGGAATTTTGTTTTGGAAAGTTTGGAGCCTTTGCGGGCTAGCCCAAGAAAGTCATTGCTGTGGCCCTGGCCCCCTGTTAAGGAAGGTGTTTGGAATTTTAGAGGGGTTGCAGCCTTTGGCGGCTGGCAAACGGCCGCTTTGAAAGCTCAGAGAAAGTCATTGCTGTGGACTGGCCATGGGGTGCCTGTTGGGGAAGATGCTTCACGGGTAAGGTTTGGCGGGTTTGGAAGAGGACAAGGTCCCACACCTGCTGTGGATCTGAGGTGCCTGCTGGGGACGGTGTTTGGAGGGTTTGGCGGGTTTTGGAGGGGTTGGAGCGTTTGGAGGGTTTGGAGAGTTTTGGAGGGTTTGCGGGCTGGCAAACGGCAGCTTTGAAAGCCTAAGAAAGCCATTGCTGTGGCCTGGCCCTGGGGTGCTTGTCGGGGAAGTGGCCTTGGCCTTGGGGTGCCTGTTGGGGAAGGTGTTTGGAATTTTGTTTTGGAAAGTTTGGAGCCTTTGCGGGCTAGCAAACGGCAGCTTTGAAATTCATAAAAAGTCTCATTGCTGTGGCTCTGGCCCTGGGGGTTTGGAATTTTGGAGGCGTTTGGAGCCTTTGCGGGCTGGCAAACGGCAGCTTTGAAAGCTCATAGAAAGTCATTGCTGTGGCCCTGGCCCTGGGGTGCCTGTTGATCCTGTTGGGGAAGCTGCTTAAGGGTAAAGGTTTGGAGGGTTTGGAAGAGGACAAGGTCCACACCTGCGGTGGATCTGAGGTGCCTGCTGGGGACGGTGTTTGGAGGGTTTGGCGGGTTTGAGGCCCATAGAAAGTCATTGCTGTGGCCCTGGCCCCCTGTTAAGGAAGGTGTTTGGAATTTTAGAGGGGTTGCAGCCTTTGCGGGCTGGCAAACGGCAGCTTTGAGGCCCATAGAAAGTCATTGCTGTGGATCTGAGGTGCCTGCTGGGGACGGTGTGTTTGGAGGGTTTGGCGGGTTTTGGAGGGTTTGGAGGGTTTGAGGGTTTGGAGAGTTTTGAGTGGTTTGGAGGTTTGCGGGATGGAACAACGGCAGCTTTGAAAGCCTAAGAAAGCATGCTGTGGCCTGGGCACTGGGGGTGCCTGTTGGGGAAGTGGCCTTGGCCCTGGGGTGCCTGTTGGGGAAGGTGTTTGGAATTTTGTTTTGGAAAGTTTGGAGCCTTTGCGGGCTAGCAAACGGCAGCTTTGAAATTCATAAAAAGTCTCATTGCTGTGGCCCTGGCTCTGGGGGTTTGGAATTTTGGAGGCGTTTGGAGCCTTTGCGGGCTGGCAAACGGCAGCTTTGAAAGCTCATAGAAAGTCATTGCTGTGGCCCTGGCCCTGGGGTGCCTGTTGGGGAAGCTGCTTAAGGGTAAA